AGAAGTTTTAGTGCAGGGATGAAAGATGCAGAGTCAGGACTCCTGGGTTCTTTCAACATCTGTGGGAAGAAATGCCTAACCAGGGCTTTATTAAGACAAGCTGTTGGCCTAAATTGTATCTAACATATTGTCCCCTCTTTATGTGCATTATTCTCTTATTCTCACATAAAGTCTTCTCTTTATGTTTATTATTCTAACAGTTGTGGCATGCCTGACATTTTCGTGTTGCTGTTTTTGTTTAGAGACCCTCCTGATCTGAGACCCTAAACTGTAGTATGTTTAGCTTAAATGTAAATTTGGTGCCACTGTCTAATGATTCAGAGGGGGGGGGGAGAAATCAGAGTTTGGGAAAGTTGGATTTTTAGATTATGGTTCCCAGAATCCCCCAGCCAGAGACTCCCAGATGATCTGGGAAGTTGTTGTCCAAAAAAGCAATGTTTCCAAGGTCTGAATGAAATTAATACGAGCAATTAAATTTCATTCCCAATTTCCGGTTGGAAGTGGAGCATAAGATACTTGAATGGGGTGGGAAATACATGTGAAAGATAGAGTTTTGTCAAATTTGGAAAGAATGGAAAACAAGATTAATACAAATTTAATTATGGTTTGTACAGGACCTTTACACACAACCCCCTCTTTTTGGAACTCCTCCTTCTCCATATTCATAGAAAGAAATATTGGTCTGAAACCCACCACAGTTTCCTGCTGAGTCAGACCATATGGCCAGCGGCAGAATTAATTATATGACAATTTTTCAATTTATTGCAGATAATTTTGCCCAGTGAGGAAGACTAGTATAGTACATAGTGGTATAATGGGAATTTTGAAGTGCAGCACATTATACTGTTGTAGTGCTATTATTCTACTTTAATTGCTATGGCTGCCTCCTGTAGAATCCTGGGATTTGCAGTTTAGGCAGGGGCATTTAGCATTCTCAGCCTGAAAGCTCTTTGGCCTTACTAAACTCCAAACCCCAGAATTCCACGGGAGGCAGCCATAGTGGTTAAACTGGAATTATAGCACCAAACTAGTGTAGTGTAGTACAGTATTTTTAGTCTTTGTTGTTCTCTTTTATCTTTCTGTCCCTCATTCATTCACTATTATCTATTCAGGGGCAAAACAGCTTGTTTGTCTTTGCTGTATTCTCTCGTTCTGTTTCTTTATTCCCAAAGAGAAGGTGGTATTTTACTTTCTCTCTTCTCTTTTAGGTCCCTGAGCCATGACTTCCTGGGGCCAAAGGAAGTTCTCACTCCCAACGCTGTGTGCATGACTCTCCCCTGGCTGACCCGGCGTCAACTTGGCCTCTGCACACGCAGTCCCGAAGCGATGGCTTCAGCTTTACAAGGCGTCCACTTGGCCATTCATGAATGCCAGCACCAGCTCCAAGAGAGACGTTGGGATTGCTCTGACCTCAGCAGTGGGGGCACTATGCTTCTCAACAGCCCCATTCTCAAAAGAGGTGAGGAAGGTTTCAGGAAAGTCATCAGGACACTGTCCTCATCCATGACTGGGGACTACAGGCAATTAAAATGACAAAGTAACATGACTAAGGCCCTGGTAATATAACGTTACTGCTACCTTGAAAAATTAAGAAGTAACATTGCCAGGATCTGAACAAGGGAGGAATCATGTTCTCTTCATCTGTAGCTCAGGGACTGGTAATGTAATCTCTTGGACTACAACACCCATAATCCCCCAGCTGGCATACCCCTCCAAAATAATTTTTCCAAGTTCTGTCCTTGGTTCTCTTTGCAGCATACTGCCTCCCTCAGACTTTCCTGCCCACCAATCCTTTCACTCTTGTACATAGTGAATTTGGTGCCTCTATGGAAACAGAAACAAAGGCTGGAAATGAAGGCTTCATTTCCATTACGTTATAAACCGGTTTGCTAACTGAAGGGGTTTAAATGACCCTTGTTTGCACTTGAGCCCAATCACTGAAGCAGCTTGGCGAGGGGCACCCTGCGCTAGACCCATTTGACACACGTCTTTTTGAGGCTCCTCTTTTCCGCGTCTTTTGCAATAAATGGATTCAGCGCATGTGTGAATGAGATGCAGATCAGAATTAGTTTCCTATGACATGATCAGCAATCAGAGACCCACTGAAGAGGGTCCATTTTGAATTGATTCAGTAGTCAATGTGAATGACATGTGGGTTATTTTACAACAAGAAAATGTGATTGGGGCATATGTAGTGTGAGTCACGCTCCATTGTCGAACCGATCCATCAGTTCGGATTTCAAACTGATTTATTTGTAAATGGGAATGAGGCCAAAGAAGCAAGAGGAGAGGGATTGACATTCTTACGGAAACCATTAAGCATGTGGAGGAGCAGACAAGTGCAAAATAAAAATCAAGATTCTTTCACACTACACAGTTACAGCACTTTAATTCCACTTTGACTGCCATGGCAACATACACAGGAATCCAGGGGTTTCTAGTTTTGTGAGGCCCTAGAGAAGCTCTGTAGCTGAGGTTTCTATGTACTCATGAAACTACAACTCCTAGCAATCTGTATAATGGAGCTGTGGAAGTTAAAGGTGGTATCATAGTGCTATAATCATGTGGTGTGAAAGAGCCCCAGAAGGGTTGCATCTGTACTGCAGAATTCATGCATTTTAGTACCACTTTAACTGCCACAGCTCCATTCTGTGGACTTCTGGGGTTGTAATTTGTTGTTGCACCAGAGCTCTCTGACAGAGAAGGCTAAATATCTCACAAAACTACAAATCCTAGAATTCCATAGTATTGAGGCATGGCAGTTCAAGCAGTGTCAAGCTGCATTATTTCTGCAGTGCAGATGCAACCAAGGAGATGGGATCCCTGCCTGCTTACAAAATAATTTCAATGAGGGCTGAGGGTATTTAGTGGAGCCCAGGAGTCATTGAATATTGTTAGCTGGGAAAGGAAAATGGGATGGAGGGGACAGGATAAGAAAGAAGGGATGTGCCTGCTTGAGTTCCTAACAGCTTATACTAAAAAGTTTTATAGAGGAAAGCATGGCTAACTAGCTGGCTGGAATCCTGAATGGGAGCACTCCTATGAAGAGTGCAACAGTGGTGATGGAAGAGGAGGAGGAGGAAGAGGAAGAAGAAAGATCAGGATTTACTGCAACCTTTTATTTTAGGACTTACTTATCAACAGCTAGAGAGGACCTTGGTGTAAAGTTGTTTTCTTTTTTATTTAAAAGACTCTGCAGCATCTTGCAACATCTGAATGTCACTTATTCAAGGGCTGATTGATAACCATTAGACATTTAGAAGAGGCTAGAATAGGGCTGATTAGTAATTGACTAGATGGCATATCATAAGAGCAGCAGGTTTGCTGTCCTGTACAGACAGAAAACCAAGAGTAATTTACTTGATTTACCTTTACTCATGAACTTCTGAGCTTGAGAGAAGGAACTGGAAAGAAGCCCTGATGCGTGATGAAGCACTCATTAAGGAGAGGCTTCCTGCTGCATCTTTGCATGATGCCTGCAGCATTGCTGGCCCTTCAGTCAGATTCCATTGGGGAGGATAATTTTGCTACATCTCACTTCTGGGTGCAATTCAATCATTACTTTTAGGGATAGCGAGTTTTTCCCCCCTATCTTGATCAGGGATGGGAATCATGCAGCTCTTCAGATTTTGTTAGACTAAAACTGGCAACATTCATCATCATTGGGTACACTGACAAATGTTGCTGGAATTTGCAGTCCAACAATGTCTGGTGGATCCCATAATCTGCACCTGAGTGGGAATCATGCATCCTGCAAGTCTTATGCGGCCATTAAGGAGTTCTAGTGCAGCCCTTGGGGAACCTTCCCCACAGCCCTGGAAAAAATAGACATGCCACCGCAATGAATTTTGGCTGAAGAAAGAAATCCCAGCTGCTCCAGAACATTTTGAAATGCCACACATCATCTCAAAACATCAAATAAACCCCACCAAAAAGCAACCCAAAAGTTGATTGAAAATTATGTGACATCACATCTGATTGCCCAAAATGGTAGTTGCAACAATGCAATGTGGTGAGCTCTGGAACAGCCAAAAATTGAGCTGTGTGGCCCTCCAAGGTTTGGAATATGGCCATTGATTCTTTAAAGTTTGCTGGACTACAACTTCCATCTTCTCTGACCACTAATCCTGCTGGCTGAGGGCGATGGATCTTGCAGTCCAATAGCATCTGGAGGGCACAAAGTTCCCCATGCTGATTTAATTATTCTCAGTGCAGAGATAGAGACCTAAATGCAATTGCTGCTCTGTTACAGTAAACCCATTGAATCAATTTGATCTATATAAGAGTTCACTTACTACTGAGCTGTGGATTTGGTAGGTCTGTTCTGGTTAAGCTTAGTGGTTGGACTAAGGCCAGGATATACTAATAATAAGATTAATAAGATTTATTTATAACCCACCCCTCTGCTCAGCAATCAGGGCGGCGTACAACAAGTTAAAATACAACAAGTAAAAACATTCCATTGTACTACTTTACAAAATGCTAACCACAACAATTCCATATGATTTAGCTTCCTGAGTTTACCTCCATACAAAATGGAAATATGCCAGATTGTCAGTGGTGGACTTTTGTAGGTGGCACACCAGCAGCTCTTTCCTTGCATGCTAGTGTACCTTACCTGTGAAGTATGGCTCCATTTTCATTTTTAATAGAAGCAAAAAGGGATAGGATTCATATTAGGACAAAGGGTCACTCTCTTAAGTTACAGCCTTGTTTTCCAGCACTGCCACAAATTGAATGATGGTGGTGGGCCAGAAGTCAGAGATCCCAGGAGTTGATTTATTTGACAGCACTCTTCCAAATGCCAAATTGAAACTGGGAATTTGTAGGGAACTGGATGATTCTGGCACAACTCTGTGTGTGTGTGTTATGTGCCCTCACATCCTACTTTCCAACTTACAGCAACCCTCCCTTGGGTTTTGCTTGGTAAGATTCAGAGGAGGTTTAGCATTGGCTTCATCAAAGGTGTGATTTGCCCATGGTCACCCAGTGGGTTTCCACAGCTGGGCAGGGATTTGAACTTTGGTCTCCCAGAGTTCCAGTCTAACACTCAACCACTGTGCCACTCTGGTACACTGGCTGAACTGTGCATGTGTGTTGTGTGCCTTCAAGTTGTTCAAGTGTGTGCTGTATGCCTTCTAACTTATCGCAGTCCTAAGGTGAACCTATTGTGGGGTTTTCTTGGCAAGATTTGTTCATAGGACGTTTGCCACTGCCTTCGCCTGAGGCTGAGAGCATATAATAATAAATAATAATAACATTTTATTTATACCCCGCCTTTAGCCAAGTCTATCAAGGCGGCTTACATTAAAAGTACAATCCCACAGTGGGTTTCATAGCCAAGCAGGAATCAAATCCTGGTCTCCAGAGTCATAGTTTAATGCTCAAACCACTACGCCACACTGACTCTCACTGGCTGAATCATTAGTACTGATTTGTGCTCAGTCAGTTATTCTCACAGTGGAAAGCTGTGATTTCACCAAAAGTAATTCTAACAAGCATTTGGAGGCAGATGGCAACAAAGAACCGCAAGGAATGATGAGGCATTTCTTCTTTGCCTGTTCTGCAAATGGGGAGGAAGAATTGGGTTGTTTTTTTTTTTTAAGAGGGTGCATGTTCCCAAACTCTCCCCACCCTCCCTGGTACCTGGAGGTTGCCTAGACTCACCTTTCCTTCTTTATATATGCCAACACCAATTCTGTCTCTTTGGTGAGTCTTTGCCAGGCATCCTTCCTCAGTTGTGTACACAATGGCCAACACCTGACCCCAGAGGCAAGTTGGCAGGGAGCTCCTTTCTTTTGTCATTTGGGTCTCTTTTATTAATCTGACTTTGAAGAAGCCAGTTCTAAATTTAAACCTGAGATCAAAGTCAGCCTCCTGGGCAGGCAGGAACCTCAGCAAGCTACAACCTCCAACACCTGGGCCCAGCCATTCCTCCATGTGTCATCATCATGAAGCTAGGGGTGGGGAGGGGAAGCTCTTCATCCCAGTTTCTAGGGACTGGGGCAGTTTCTGAGTGGGAGAAAGGATGGAATGTAGAGATCAATGGAAAGTCTTTAGCAGATTAAAATACAAAGGAAAGGAATATGCTGGGACTAATGGATGCACATCCATCCATAACTTTATTGTGGTTGAAGACCAGCCTTTATAGTTAGAAAATAGGCAAGTACAAAACAAACAGGTACAGGTTACAAATCCAGGAAAATTCCAGCAATGCAAATGTTGTGTGCCTTCAAGTCATTTTTTACTTATATCGACCTTAGGGCAAACCTATCATGGGGTTTTCATAGCAAGATTTGTTCAGAGGAGGTTTGCCCTTGCCGACCTTTGAGGTTGAACAAGTGTGACTTGCCAAAAGTGGGTTTCCATGGCCAAACAGGGATTTGAACCATGGTTTCCCAGTGTCCTAGTTCCAACACTTAAACCACTACACATTAGCTAGCTCTGTATGATAGAAACATAAATATCTTCCATAAGGAACTTAGTGGAGACTGATAAAAAGGTAAAAAGGTAAAGGTAAACACAAAAACAAAATAGCTTATATAATTGGAAGTAAAACATGGCGAAGCTCCATGCTGCTGGCTAACACTAGACCAGCTGACTGTGGCACAGATCACAAACTACTCATATCAGAAATAAAAGTAAAACTCAAGAATAGAACAAAACCAATCATCATACCAAAATACAATTTAAACAACATTTCCACAGAATTCATTGACAATATAAGGAACAGATTTGCAGTACTAAGTATAGTAGATTGTGAACCAGAAGAGCTTTGGGCTGAAGCCAGTGACATAATAAAAGAGGAATGCATAACGACACTTCCAACAGACAAAAGGAAAGTGAAGAAACCATGGATGACAGATAAAATGCTACAAGCAATAAAGGAAAGAAGAGAAACAAAATGAAAAGGAGATAGGAATAAACTAAGAACCATGAACGCAACAGTACAACTGCTAGTGCACAATGATAAGAAAAATTACTACAATGATCTAGAAATAGAAGACAACAACAAAAAGGAAAGAATGAGAGACCTACTCCACAAGATCCGAGAAATCAAAGGAAAGTTCAAATCAAGGACTGGGACTGTCTATGACAATAAAAATAAAATAATTCAAGACCAGGAAGGAATAAAAAACATTGGATGCAATACACAGAAGAGTTATATAAAAGAGATGACAACATGAAGGACACATTGAAAGAAGAGCCATATGAAGATGAACCCCAAATTCTAAAAACTGAGGTGGAACCTGCAATAAAAGCAATAGCAAAAAACAAGTCTCCAGGAATAGATGATATTCCAATAGAACTGTTGCAATTCACATTGACAGAGTCAACTCTGGTGCTAACCAACATATGTCAACAGATATAGAAAATAAAACGATGGCCAACAGATTGGAAGCAATCAATATACATCCCCATCCATAAAAAAGGAGACACAAGAGACTGCAGAAACTATAGAACCATAGCACTAATCTCCCATGCAAGCAAAATTATGCTCAAAATACTGAACATAGACTCCAACCACACATGGAGAAAGAAATCCCAGAGGTCCTAGCAGGGTTCAGGAAAGGAAAAGGCACTAAGGATCACATCGCAAACATACGATGGAGTGCAGCAGGGAATTCCCAAAGAAAATCAGCATGTGCTTTATAGAGTATAGCAAAGCCTTTGACTGAATAGATCATGAAAAGCTATGGAATGCCCTTAAAGACATGGGAGTGCCAACACATCTGATAGTCCTGATGAGGAAACTGTACTCTGGACAAGAGGCTACTGTCAGAACAGAACATGGAGAAACAGGGGTCAGACAGGGCTGCATCCTATCACCCTACCTCTTCAACTTATATTGTAAGGAAAGCAGGCTTGGACATGAAAGAGGGAGGAGTGAAAATAGGAAGAAGAAATATCAACAATCTGAGATATGCTGACGACACCATAATACTAGCAGAAAACCTCCCAGACCTGGAACAACTACTAAGGAAGATCAAAGAAGAAAGTGCAAAGGCAGGCTTACTGTTGAACATAAAGAAACCAAAAATAATGACCACAGAGAACTTCCACACATTCAAACTAGACTATGAGGAAATAGAAATAGTAAAAGAGTTCTCATATCTGGGATCAAACATTGATAGAAATGGGGACAGCAGTCAGGAAATCAGAAGAAGGTTAAGAATGGGGAGGGTGGCTATGAAAGAACTAGAAAAGATTCTAAAATGTAAAGACATACAACTCAGCACAAAAGTCAGAATCATACAAGCCATTGCATTCCCTATTACCATGTATGGATGTGAGAGCTGGACAGTTAAAAAGATGATAGGAGGAAAATCAACTCCTTTGAGATGTGGAGCTGGAGAAGAGTGCTGAGGATTCCATGGAAAGCCAAAAGGACAAACAAATGGGTCCTGGAGCAGATCAAGCAGATCAAGCCAGAAATATTCCTAGAAGCCAAGATGACAAGACTTAGGCTGTCATACTTTAGACACATCATTAGAAGTCATGAATCATTGGAAAAGACAATAATGTTAGGAAAGGTGGAGGGAAGTAGAAAGAGAGGAAGGCCACATGTCAGATGGATGGACTTTATTAAAGAGACCACAAATATGAGTTTGCAGGAGCTGGGCAGGACAGTAGAGAACAGAGGGGTCTGGAGATGTCTCATCAGCAGGATCACCATGGGTTGAGATCCACACAAAGCCAGTTAACGACAACGACAAAAATGTATGACAAGGTTGTAAAGTCATGTCTGATATAAGGAGCGGTGTTCATCTCTGTTACTAAGCTGAAGAACCAGCACTGTCAGTGGGGGGAAGCAGACTGGCGGCACGGGGCCGCCCTGGGAAGGTG